TTGGGGTAGCATATTGGTGAAGAGACTGAGCTGAAGAACTGGAAGTCCCTGGCTTAAATCTCGCCTCTACTGTAGGTGGTCTAAGGCAAACTACTCTCTCTCAGCCCCATTCCACCCCATTTGCACTGTGGGGAGAATAGCCATTACCTTATAGGGTTGTTGTAAGGATTACAAGTAGATAATATATGGTACAAAGTGCAGTGATGATGAGTTTGACTTACTCCTAGATAAGCAGGTATAGAATTGCAGCCCTGGTGTATTGTATATGTTGGGCCTGAAAGCAACATATACTAGGTTTCTGTCAAAATCCAGAAGGCTCTAAGAAGCAAAGGAATTGTAATCTCCCTTCATGCAGTTTTCTGGGGGATGCAGTCCTCCTCCTGCCTCTAATGGCCAACATGCTTCCTGGTCTTTCCTCTAGATGCTCATATATTAGGATGTTCCTTTGGAGTGAAGAAACCTACATGCCTGTCACAATCACAAGGAAGCCTTTATGTGAGCTGCTGCTCACAGATAGGTTTCAGTCTTCTCAGTCAACTCACACAATCACCTTTCATAGTTTGACCTTCCAGCTGCTGCCACTCAGTACTTTGGTTCAGGTATAACTATAGTTTGGGGCTTACAAGAATGAGCCTAGAAGGTAGCTCTGGGTTCTTCTTCCCTTTCCCTTCTTCCTGGGAACTCTGGAAAGGCTGACTATTGGAAAACATGAAAATAATGATGTTCTGCTGGAAGACTCTGCTGGAGCTCTGCATAATCTGCTAATCACACTGGTTGAAAAGTGGTTTAGTGTAAACAACAATGACCCCAAGTCTAACAGGTTGTGGGCCAACTGACTTCTACAAGTCATAACAGTCTAGTTCTGCTCATACACTTGCAAAATTGTATGCTGCCTAATTTTGAGGGATGGAGCCACTTTAAGCTGCAAAGGCTGCTTTACTGAGCGGAGTGGGATACAAAAATTCCATAATGACCACCACTGAACTTGTTTGATTCATCTTTAAACAGAGTTGTAATCTTCAACTTCGAAATAATGAAATGTGGCACATGGCTGTTTTAATTGGCAGAGACAAAGAAAAGAAGCAGATGTGGGTTGCTAATCTTATGCAGTGCTTGTATAGACAAAGAAAAGGGGAGATGATCTCTTAGATGGCATTTAATTTCTCCCTCTCCCAACCTTGTTGCTACCCGGTGGTTTTTGATTAATTTATTTACCATCATTGGATGATTGATTGGTGCTGGTTTCACTTGGGTACACTGAATATTTTCTGTTCTTTAGCTGTCACTATGACAAACATGCAGTGATTAATTAGAGAATCTGCAGTGCTCTCTTATTGTTACTGCTCAGTCAGTGCCAGAAAATCATAAATATTCCAAAATACAGAGGGGGGTTTTTTTGTTTTAAAATAATTTAAACAAAAGAATATGTTATTGTTAATTATTTCTTATGGCAATGGTAAATGTCTTGCTAGATATGCTGTTCAGCATCTGGAGTGACTGCTAAATTCAGAGCAAAGAGAACCAAGCCTTTGGCAAGTATCTGGGATCCTATGTTGTGGGATTATGCAAGAGGTCAAGAATGATGGCTGCAAATGCCTTTCCTGGCATCCCCATTTTGACTCTGGAATTTAGCAAGGGCAGCAAAGTTCTGAAGCCTGAGAAATTAGCACTGTAATCCTAAACATGTCTACTTGGTACAAAGCCCCATTCATTTCAATGGGACTTACTCTATTACAGTCCAGTGAGTGTAAGAATACAGTCTCCTGTTCTTGGCTAGTTTTCTTTTCTTTTCTTCAGCTACATTCCTTAGTATGGGTCACATTCTTTCTCCCTTCGGAATGCCTAGTTGCCATTTTAGGGCCAGATGGCTTGAAAGTCATAATTTTCAATACAACCGTTTGGTTCCCAAATTCATTCTGATTGTGCAGATAAAATATAATAATAATAATAATAATAATAATAATAATAATAATAATATATTACTTATACCCCACCCGTCGGGCCTGGCCTCCCCAGCCACTCTGGGTGGCTCCCAACATAATATTTAAAACATGATAAAACATCAAACATAAAAAACTTCCCTAAAAAGGGCTGCCTTCAGATGTTTTCCAAAAGCCAGGTACTGTTTATTTCCTTGACATCGGATGGGAGGGCATTCCACAGGGCGGGTGCCACTACCGAGAAGGCCCTCTGGCTAGTTCCCTGTAACCAATAGAATTCTACAGAATCTGTTGCTAGTGTGTGAAAACAGTCAAGATCCAAGGATTCACAGGCATACACCTCCAGATAGTGGACATTAGGGTTGCCATACATCCAGAATCACCTGCCATACGTCTGGAAGACTACTGTTGGAAGCAGCGTCCAGGCAAAAATCGGCAAAATGCCTGGGCATATGGCAATCCATGTTGGCATGTCATTTTGGGCGATTTTACTGAAAAAAAGTTAAACGTCCATTTTTTTTTTTTAATGCCCCCAAAGCTCAACAGCTTTGGTGTTAAAAAACAAAACAAAAACCCATCAACAACTTTTGTGTCCGGGATTTTCACCTAGTGGAGACATCAGGCTCCATCCTGGTCGCAAGTGGCCAATAGCTAGGTTCAAAATAGGTAAAGGTAAAGGTACCCCTGCCCGTACGGGCCAGTCTTGACAGACTCTAGGGTTGTGAGCTCATCTCACTCTAGAGGCCGGGAGCCAGCGCCGTCCACAGACACTTCCGGGTCACGTGGCCAGCGTGACGAAGCTGCTCTGGCGAACCGGCACCAGAGCAGCACACGGAACGCCGTTTACCTTCCCACTAGAAAGCGGTACCTATTTATCTACTTGCACTTAATTGTGCTTTCGAACTGCTAGGTGGGCAGGAACTGTGACCGAACGACGGGAGCTCACCCCGCCGTGGGGATTCAAACCGCCGACCATGCGATCGGCAAGTCCTAGGCGCTGAGGTTTTACCCACAGTGCCACCCGCGTCCCTCCTGGCAAATTTTGACCAGTAGGGACAGAGCTGCAAGGGCACACCAGCAGGAATAGCAGATCTCCTGCTACTTTCTAGCAAGAAGTGCCTACACAACTCCACAGCACTGGTGCCTCTCCTCACCAGCTGCTGCTGTATGCATGGTTTTGCTATGAGACCATGCGCTGTTGTCACTCACGTGGAGAGCAAAGCACCTGAAGAGACCTTCAAGTCTCAAATAAGCATCAGCTTTCTTATGTTTCTAACCAATGTAAATAATCTCCGCACACAAAAAGGTGCCGGCTTCAGTTCAACATTTGTTTGAACTTCCTGGTCAAAGCCAGTTGATAGCAACACGAACATTTGCACATTTGCACATTGCCTTTGACTGAATTGACCAGGGAGCTCTTACAACCAAAGCAGCCACATCGGCACCGGTAATTACAACACCTGTTACATCATGAAAAGTCATATATTTGTTTCAAGGATATCTGTGTATTTATGTAAGAATTCATATTCATATTGATGGTTCTTCCTTGGATCCCTGCAACAACAAGCAAGCGCAACTACTCAGTATGCCTAAGAGACTTCAAAGCTTTCTACAGCTTTTAAGTTTATCAAAGATGCGACACTGAAGCCTGTTTCATGTGCTTTGTTTAATGCCATTGTCAATGACACTGTCAGCGCTTTGAAATGGTGATTCATTTCTTTTTCAATCGGTTACTTCACAATAGGGATGTCGTGAAGTGCAGCTGGATTCGTTTTTAAGATTGAGACCTTTTGACTGCCTCAACTGCAAGTCACCTGAAATGGAATCTAATAGGGTTCAAGACACAGATTTTATTCTCTTCCCTTTTTGGTCAAGGAAGAAAAGGAAGAGGTAGAAGTATTATAATCCTGTACGTTGCACAGATCTGAGTTGTAGAAGGGATTCTGGAAATTTATGGTATAGCTGGCACAAAGGAAGTTGTGCCTTGTCTGTGGTGACCCCACGACTCTTTGGAAATCTCTTTCAAAAGAAGCTTAAGACTCAGTCCACCGAGATTTTAAGAGGTTGCTAAAAACCTTTCTGTTCCACCTTGAGGAAAATGGTATGCCTAGACTCATGTAATTAGAATGCAACTCCTGTTGTCTTATAGGATGCTGTACTGAGAGTGTTTTAGTTGGATTTAGAAACATTTTAACTGTTGAACTCTTATGGTTGGCAAATGCATTTATTGTTGTGAGCCATTGCTTTGGATGGTCTTGTAGAGACTTATACAAATGACTTAATTGTTTTTCATTAAAAAAAAGTGCAGCAAAACAGGATAGCATTTCACTTTGTTTTGTCCGCTAGAAATTAAGAAAGTGATCAGTCATTAAGGCAGAAGTTAATGTCACTTTGAATTTTGTTAGTAGGCCTTCAGCCTGTGGATTTGCACATGATGGTGTTAGGTGTCAGAAGGGCTGGCAGTCTCCAGATTGTGGGAACTCACAAACATAGGAAGCTCACCCATTCACAAAACCAAATATAAAAGCTCTATTTTTATTCTTGTTAAAAGCATGTGTTGGCAGGGGTGCACCTACCAGATGCTTGTCATAACAAACAATATGCATGTTGCCTGTCATATTGGGCTTTTTTGGTTTCTCTCTCTCTCTGTGTGTAAAATGATTTTAATACAACCTTTAATATACAATAAAAACAACAATTAAATGGACAGGATAACAGTGTACAGGGGAAGCTGTTCCTCAGAAAACATGTGTAAACAAGTGGCGATTCTGAATTCTTCACAAATGCGGTAAATATTGCAGAACAGAAGAGAACAAAACAAACAGCTGAAATATACTGGGGTGCTAGATCACCATTTTAATGTACAAAACCTACTTGCAGTAGAGCAAACTCCAGAATGCCTTAAAATCAGGGTCACATTCAACCTCCTTATGCAGTTTCCTTTGCCAAATGGTACCCTGCAAGGAGGCAGGAATTGATGTTGAGCTCAGGATAGAGGTAATAAATCAGCGGTCTATTTACTTCAATCCACAGGAAGCATGTGAGCTTCTTCAAGGAAATAGATAATCTGTCTGGGATTGGGGCACTGAGTCCCAGGTACAGTGTGCAGTGGACACCAGGAGACAATCTACTGAGAGAAAAAGGTCACACAGTTGGTAGAGTGCTGTCTCTCCTTCTCAAGCACTGAAATTGAAGAAGCTCCTCATAGCATGAGGTGGAGCATATGAGCCAGGTAAGTAATACTGCTTTCACTGTAAAGCACATTTTCGGTGTTCATTTCTTACAGTGATACAAGTTGTATCTTTTTGTTTCCCACTGGGAGACAAAAGTAATGGGTAGGCCTGGGCCTATCCTGGAAAAAGTGATGAATGAGTAGGCAACCCTTCAGGGCCTACTCTGAAATTAACCCCTGCCCAAATGTCACAAAAAAGTGAGCAGACTTTTTGAGTTGTCCAGAAAGCCTCCTCAGGTTAGCTGTTAAACAAAGCAGAGTGGTGATAGGAAAGGGGAGAGGCAACCAATGCTGGCTAATATCGAAGCTGTGGAATCTGCATTTAATCACAATTTGAAGATGGAATGTGGGAGGATGTAGCAGGTTTCAGGTTGTACTTAAGGCTGTCGCTAGGACTCTTGAGATTTATCCCACATTTCCTTTTTAAATGCAGCTATTCCTTCAATTTGTTTCGTTTCTTATGCTGAACAAAGCAGCTCCTCAGTAGATGCAAAACAAAAAGAGGCAGTTTCTAGATTAACAATACATTTAGGAGGTGTACTAGTTAAACACAAGTGAACAGAAGCTAAATTTTGTACCTTTGTCTAGTAGTTGGAGGGAATGTACCCTCAGTGAAGTCCTATCTTCAGGGATAAAAGATCCCATTCCTCCAGTATATTATTCTGTTCTTGAATGGCAGGCAGATACCCTCTGTCTCTCTCACAAACATATTGGAAGGTCAATTTATATAAAAATTCAATTATATTGCCATAATATAAAAGATGAGAGTTGTAAGAAAACCAGCAAGTTGGGCACTTGAAATGAGCTAGAAAACGTTTAGTGCTACTTCTCATGATCTGTTGGTGTTCTTACAATTTTTTCCCCAAAGTTTTGGATGGCTGTTATGAAAGATAATGTCTTGTGAGTGCCTGCTCAAAGTTATCACTTTATTTGTCCCCTTTTGGGTGTATTTCTTGTGTTAGGTAGGATGACATGTTCAACAGAGCAGATGATTTGTTTTTGGAAGCTGGTGCTAGCTGTGGACAGGACCTACAAGAATCATATTTTGCCCGTTCCCTGTCCATACAAACTTGTAATGTAGGGCTCTCCTTCCCCACACTTACACCAAACCCGTTGCAAAAATACAATCTCATTAGTCTTGAATGAAAAGTTTCCTTTTTAATCCTGGAATATTTCCTTCATTTCTGAAATTGCACCATGTCCCGCACTGAGGCTTGCCTGCCATGCCCCTAAAGACACACACACACACACACACACACACACACACACACACAGTAGGTAGGTCTTAAGAGAGCATGTCATAGAAATATGAGTTCTTGGGGAAGCACGAGGGAAAGCAAGCAGGGTCCAATCAGGAGTGTACATCAAGCAGAGAGTACAGGACCATGGAGAGCTCCAAGGGGCTTGGCTAAACCAGTCATCAGAGACTTTTTCTCTGTAGGAAGATAGAAGCAACTGAAGCTTTATACAGCTCAATCAGTTTTGGAATATGGCATGCTCCAACTCTGCAATAAGTGTCTGGCTGGTTAAAGGGCCCTCAATTTAGTCTTTTTTTTTTTAATGGACAGGGAGATGAAAGGACACAGCAGACTCATTTTCTGAGTCAGAAGATGGTGGCAGGGCTGTGCCCTCTGGCTGAGAGGTCCTTGAATGAGGGTGGTGGTTCTACTCTTGAAGAAGTAGTCTGAACCGCATGTTGTCAGAGTCATAGAATCATAGAATTGTAGAGTTGGAAGGGACCGCAAGGGTTGACTAGTCCAACCCCCTTAAATGCAGGAATCTCAGCTAAATCATCCATGACAGATGGTCATCTAAAAAGGATTTAAAAAAAGGTAAATGATCCCTGGATGGTTAGGTCCAGTCTTAAAACCTACTTAAAAACCTCCAAGGAAGAAGAGTCCACAACCTCCCGAGGGAGACCATTCCGCTGTCAAACATAGAATCATAGAATCATAGAGTTGGAAGAGACCACAAGGGCCATCGAGTCCAACCCCCTGCCAAGCAGGAAACACCATCAGAGCACTCCTGACATATGGTTGTCAAGCCTCTGCTTAAAGACCTCCAAAGAAGGAGACTCCACCACACTCCTTGGCAGCAAATTCCACTGTCGAACAGCTCTTACTGTCAGGAAGTTCTTCCTAATGTTTAGGTGGAATCTTCTTTCTTGTAGTTTGGATCCATTGCTCCGTGTCCGCTTCTCTGGAGCAGCAGAAAACAACCTTTCTCCCTCCTCTATGTGACATCCTTTTATATATTTGAACATGGCTATCATATCACCCCTTAACCTCCTCTTCTCCAGGCTAAACATGCCCAGCTCCCTTAGCCGTTCCTCAAAAGGCATCGTTTCCAGGCCTTTGACCATTTTGGTTGCCCTCCTCTGGACACGTTCCAGTTTGTCACTATGTGTTAGAGTCACACACTGTGAAGGCCCAAGTTTGTGGGTCAGGAACAAGAAAAAACAGGACTCCCTATCTCTCAGACTTCAAGTCCAACTTTAAATGTACAAGCACGGACTCTTTGTTCTAGAGAAGGGCCTGGGTCAGGAAATCACCATTCAGGGATGATGGGAGTTGTAGTCCAAAATCACCATTCAGAATGTTGCTTATTCTGCTCTGGTACTTTTTCTGATTAGCTCCAGCAAATCTCATAAGAGGCAGTCAGTAAGGACACAAATAAAAGGAAATACGTTTCCATAAACATCCTCAAGATTTACAGTTTGGCCTCAATTTTCCCGTCATGGTAAAAGGGCTACATCCTGCAGCCTAAGCTGTACCTTCCAGGTTTTGTTGGGCTCCAGTTCTCATCAGGCCCAATCAGCAAGGCCAGTGGTCAGGGATGATGGGAGTTGTAGTCCAACACGACGGGTTCCCCATGCCTGAGCTAGGGCAACCAAGCTAGAAAGGTCTTGGTCCATGAAAAATATCTCCTGGGCAGAGTCACCTTATGTATCTGCAGCATATTTCTTCCTCATAAACAGCTTCGTATCAAAGGTGTTAGGCATCTCTATATGTCTCCCTCCGCCTCATTATTATCATCACTAACATCAACAGCTTGACTCTTTATCGTTAAGTGTGGCAGCCTATTGTATTGTTACTTGTAGATAAAATATAGTTGCTAAGAAACACTGTGATTAACATGCTGACAATGCAACCTTCCTTTGATAATTTGGGCATCAGTTGTCTGCTTCTATAATTGGCAAGGAAACAATTTCTGGGGGAAATTTGTCAGCCTGCAGAGAAAAGAAGACTTTCTGAATGAAATAAAATGGCTCCTTCTCATGCCTATTTCTGATGTTGGATCCTATGTGTTTTCTTGTACAGATGCTGGATGCTGACGTGGCTTGGTGAAGGAAGGAGCCATGCACAGAATTACATTTGGAGCACTTGAATATCTGCTATTGCAGCTGCATGTAAAATTATGCTCTGGCCAGAGGTCCATTCACCCAGGGTTGGCCCTACCATTGGGCAGAGTGATGCAACTGCTCCAGGAAGCAGATGCTCAGGGGCGGCAGTGACTGTTCCTTCTGAGCTTCCAGACATTTCCCTCTGCTGCCATGTAGCCTCTCCTGAGCCCTCTAATCTGTTCTCCTTTCTCAGGTGTGGTGGAAGATGCTATCCTGCTGCTAGTGCTGAAGCAAGATTTATCTGTCAGTCCAGATGTAATTGCAAGGTCCTTGTCCTTCATCTCAGGCAGCTAAATGTCTTGCTTTGACCAAGCATCATCCTTCATGTGACCAGAGAAGGATGTGGCAAGCTTGGCTGGTTCATAGCAGTTCCCATGCCATGTAGTGAGAACAAGACCTTCTTTCATTCAGGAAGCCTAGTTTTCAGCAGGTTGGACAAATTTCCTTAGAATGCATCCATGGGCATGCAAAAAACAAAGCTGGCTTAAAAAGTGGGCTTTTAAAGGGTAGTGGTGGTGGCTACTTTAAACAAAAAGATGAAACAAGTTTTGACCAGAGAAACCCTGTAAGAACATGTTGGAAAAGGGGAATAGGGCTGACTGGGAGACTGCACTTGAGTAGCTTTCAAACACTGTATGGGACATGGACAATGGAGTCACCAACATGGTTTAGGGTGGGAGGTAGCCAGCAGTCTTGTGAAACTTCCTTTTGCCTGCTTTCAGAGACATATTTTATAAGAAGGTCACTTTCATAGATGAATGTAGCTGAACTGTGGCTTGCGTTCAAACCAGACAGAATCTTCTTTTTTCTTTCCCTGCCCCCCTCCCACATTCCCTGCAAATGTGCCTACAGCAAAGTAATTAGGAAAACCAATGATGCAAATCCCCCATGGTAATCTCATCCTATTTAGGATACAACTACAGGCTGAACTTCAATAACACCTTTGACATAATCAAACATCCCGGAGCCCTTTACAAACCCATAAATTACTCACCTGTAAAATAATGACTGCAGGGAATTAGGGCAGCTTCACAGAGCCCATTGATCAGCACTGGACTAAATGAGGCAACATAAAGGCTTCAGAGTGCAGAATTTAGTCTCCCCACTCCACTCCCCCCCCAAAAAAAACCCTCTTGGAAATTCCTACCATGTCTCAAATAGAAGAAAACAAGCAGAACCTTAAAATAATAATAATAATAATAATAATGTTGCAGTACAGAGTTGCTTCTATTTAGGGTTCCAGCTGGACAGTCATGAACTTTTTGGGGGAGGCAGGGAAGGGAATACCTTACCACCAGCATCACCACCCCTCCCTTACACAAAACAGCTGCTCAGGAGCCACTGGGCCATTTATGGGTTCTGAAAACCTCTTCGGCTTTTAAAGGGTTCTTTTTCATACTTTGGAAAACATTAGGCTTTCCCAAACCCTCCTGCAGATGCTCCTGTTTCAGTTGCATCAGGATCTGCATTTGGAATATGAGTTTGCTGTTAGAATATATAGGATAAGAAACTGCCTTGCTGGATCAGGCTATATCTAGTGAGTAATTGGGATGAACAGTGTGTGTGTGTGTGGCGTGTGCATGTGACGGCCCCACCCACTTTGTCTCTGACCCCACCCATCACCAGCATCTGGTCCCCAACACATTACCCACAAGGGAAACCAGCCCTGGTGGAAGCAAGAGATTCCCCACCCCGTGCTAGTCCAATGTTCCATTTCTCCTCCAGTGGCCAGCTAGATACCTCTGAGAAGTCCACAAGCTGGGTATGAAAGCAGAGATCACCTGCTGTTTTCCCTAAGCATCTGCAACTTACAGCAAAGTGCAAAGGATTGCCAGACCAGAGGCCCCCCTAGCCTTGACCAGTGCACTGTGATGGTAGCTTGCCTGGAGAGACAGCTGCTGGCATGCTCTGTGCTGTGCTGCTGACCCTTATTGTAGATGGCCAGAGAGCAGGACTGCAGCTGTTAATCCTCCAGAGACCAATAGGATTCCATCTGTTTCCACAGAGCTTTAGATTCAGGCTTGGCTCCTCAGTCTGGAGGACTGGTTGCTCAGGCACGAACTGAGCCGGTTGTGAACCACCCTTCTCCCTGTGCTTTGCTGGTCTGCCTGTTTGATTACTTGCTCGTTTCCATACCACTAGCCCTTAAAGCTGCTTTTGAATGGTGGGCTTTGATTTTCAGTGCCATGTGATTTCCCCCATCCTGCCCCAGAATCATTTGGTGTACAACTATTCTGATATCGGAGTAAACTTTGTTCCCGTCCGGCCTTGTTTACAGAGGCTACCCTTGTAAATAAGGTATATCCTGCTGACATCAAGGGGGGATGTTACCAGGTAATGTGCTTGAAGGCAGGAATGCCAAACATGCCATTATGAGGTCATGGAAGCCTCTCAAAAAAAAGATGGAAACCTACATAAATATATAAAGCATCCCTGGAAAGCTCTGGTTTGCTTTCAAACTCTGCTTCTCTGACCCTAACATTGCTAATGTGTTGGGCCTATACAGGGACATCCAACTCCCAATAGACTGCAATCTAGGTAAAGGTAAAGGGACCCCTGACCATTAGGTCCAGTCGTGGCCGACTCTGGGGTTGCGGCGCTCATCTCGCTTTATTGGCCGAGGGAGCCGGCGTACAGCTTCTGGATCATGTGGCCAGCATGACTAAGCCGCTTCTGGCGAACCAGAGCAGCGCATGGGAACGCCGTTTACCTTCCCGCCAGAGCAGGACCTATTTATCTACTTGCACTTTGAGGTGCTTTCGAACTGCTAGGTTGGCAGGAGCAGGGACCGAGCAATGGGAGCTCACCCCGTCTCAGGGATTCGAACCGCTGAGCTTCAGATCAGCAAGTCCTAGGCTCTGTGGTTTAACCCACAGCGCCACCCGCGTCCCAGACTGCAATCTACTCACAGTATTAAAAAAACAGCAACTGGCAGTGATCTACCGATTGTCATAAAAAGACTGGCAGTCATCTATCCAAAGTTGTGGAGCTTTTTTTAGGAAGCTAAATTTGTGGAGCTTGAGCTTTTTAAAATAAAGTTTTAGTAAAGTTGTTGAGCTTTTTTAGTAAGCCGAAGTTGGTTTTTTGTTTTTGTTTGTAAGGAGATCACTGAGGGGTCAGAGATCAACCAGGATCTACTTGTTGGACATGCCTGGCATAGGTATCAGATGCTACTACTTTGTTTTGGTTGTTTTTTTAAAAAAGTTATGTTTTAGTTGAGTAGCTATATGTGCGGTTTTGTAATGTGCACTCTGGTCTCAAAGATCTTCTCTCTTTCCTTAATTTATTGCCTTGGGTATTGAATGAGAATAGACAGAGAGGGGAAGGGGACTGTGTACGCGAGTAAAGTGAGCCATGCTGAACCCTAAAGACTTAATTTAAGGATATGGTAGAAATGGAATTTTTTCCCCTTAGGAAAAGGGCTTAACTAATAGTGAATTTCCTCCACTGGATATACTCTGATGAATTTTAGAGACAGTCTCTAGTTGGATGGGGGAACTTCAACTGGATTTACATCTGGTCACCGTGTGCATCTTCCCTGCACTAAGACACCCAGGCTTCCTTTGCAATACTTTCCAGATGGATGAGCTGCCTTGAGTCTTTAGCGGCAGAAACGAGTCTTGTGACACCCTACAGACTAACACATTTATTATAGGAAAAGCTTTCACGGAACTGGAGTCTACTTCATGAGAAGTGCTATCCTCAGTTGGCAGCTGGCATTTCCTCTGTAGATGGCTAAATTTGGTCCCTTCCACATCCATGGACTACTCCAAGGCAGTTTATACCATAATAAATGTGCCATTTATTTCATTTCATCGAAAAAAATTATTTCCTTTTAAACAAATATTTATTGGTTTTTAATCAAATACAATAACCATTAAACACTTATCCAGCAGTACATCTGATGGTGTTTGTTTTATCCATTGTCTCTAGACATACACATTCAACATTCAAACATATTACTTAACGTAACCCCACCATTGAGAATATTGAGTGGTTGGCATAAGAAGGTCTTGATTTTCATCATTAACATAATTAAAGAAAGGGGTCCAAGTTTCTTGGAATGTGTCTTTATTTGTTATGCCCTTAATTGCCCTCCTGTGTCTGGTGAGACGCTCAGACATTGCTATATTCCAGATATTATTTTCCCATATGTTCAGGGCTATTTCAGTCTGGTTCTTCTATTGCTGAACTATCAATAATCATGCTGCGGTCAGTAAGAAGCCTACTAGTTTGCTGTGGTGCACGGTGGAGCCTATGTTCAAAGTCTATGTCCAAGATAGCAGGGCTAAGGCACTGGACGCCACTCAGGCTGGCAAAAACCAATCTCTCCTTTTCCCCTTTATGTTGGAAGTTAACTTGGAAGCATTAAGGTAAAGGTAAAGGACCCCTGGACACTTAAGTCCAGACAAAGGCGACTGTGGGGTTGCGGCGCTCAACTCGCTTTCAGGCCGAGGGAGCTGGCGTTTGTCCACAGACAGCTTTCTGGGTCATGTGGCCAGGATGACTAAACTGCTTCTGGCACAATGGAACACTGTGATGGAAACCAGAGCACACAGAAACACCGTTTACCTTCCCGCCACAGTGGTACCTATTTATCTACTTGCACTGATGTGCTTTTGAATTGCTAGGTTGGCAGAAGCTGGGACAGAGCAACGAGAGCTCATCCTGTCATGCAGATTCGAACTGCCGACCTTCTGATTGGAAAGCCCAAGAGACTCAGTGGTTTAGACCACAGCGCCACCCACTCCCATTACCAAACCATAAAGCAGTTACTACATATACAATCTGTTATGTACTGAAGTTCTCACCCTGGGCCAGCAGGGGATACTGTAGATAGTTTTCACTCAGGTCCACGTCAGTTATTTTAGGCGGGAAACTCTGGGTTGTTGTTGCTACAATGTTGACAGCCGGCTGCCTATAAAAGCAGGCCGGCTGAGCTGTTTGCTGTGCAGTTCTGTTCCAGCTTACAAAATAAAGA